TTTTTTTTTTTTTTTTTTTTTTGGGCGACGCCTTTACGCGCGTCCATGTCCGTCCCGATGCATTCCCGGAATACCGGGTATCCGAACGCACCCATTTATTGCCGTTGGAATTTATTTGGAGTACAATACACGTGACGCCGTGTATATAGCCGATCTGTCACATAGTCACGTCTCGAGTACATACGTATATATATATATTGTCTGTTATACTGTGAATAGTCACATTGTACTTTGACAGCAGTGAGAGTAAGAGAGGCAGAGATAGAGGCAGATAGTAAAAAAAAAAAAAAAAAATTCTCGCAGAAACAATAAGTATATCACGCTCGAACCCTCTGGCTACATGTTACGTGCGTCTCTTGTGAAAAAAAAAAAAAAAATACAAAGAGTTACAAAAAGATAATCCGCGACACGTGTTTATCTCGTGTGATGAAAATTGAAAGTAACGTTAAAGGTAAGTAATACATATACGTGCGGAACGGTGACGAAATCCTATATGGATTTCTTGAGGAGCGACGCCGAGCGTCTGGTCGGATGGCTCAAGTGGATTTTAGGAAATACGAAGTCCGTCCTTCAGATTTGGAACGGGCGATATATCGCGCTGTATAAGGAACACGTGGATGCACGGAGACTTCGTCCTGGTACGCATTGCAGGTCCTTGAATAATTTTCAACCTAGACTTACGCAAATGCATACAAAGAATTGCATCGCGTGTTGAATGGCAAAACTTGGCCGTAGGAAGGTCCTGTGTAATATATATATATATATATATATGTAGGTACGCTTTGAATGTTATATGCGCGGTAATCCCAAAAATAAGGCAGGGATTATTTAGACCCCTTGTATTATACTGACAAAAGATGTACTATATGGTATACCTGTATAATATATATATACACATAGATCAGTGGGCAGAGGCAGCCAGAAGAGCAAGGACTGTGTTTATGGATTATAATCGCAAATCGGACCAGCATAAAATGTAGATTAGAATTTCCATCTTTGTATTTACATATTTTACAGTTAACAAACCGTCATCCCCAATAAACAGGGTGCCATTTCGTATTCATTGCGTACGTGGAATGGCGCGCGGGGTTATCACCCAATTTCGTGACTTTCTTAATAATTAAAGAGACGTATGCGACTTGTACACGTGGCTTAAGGCGGGAGCAAAAATAAAATCCGTGCTACGATAAGAGCATGGAAAAATCTAATGTTACGTATGCGATACAAGCACATATGCACTTGCACGGTAATTGCATCCCAGTCACGTGACGCGTTATGGTTTCTTATGAAAAAAAAATAATAATAATAAAAATTAAAAAAAATCGCTCTTTCCACGTTTACCCCATTACGTACTTTTACGGTCTTTCCGATCACACCGCGATCCCATACAGCCTGTAATTAGTCTCGACTTTGAGCTGGCAGAGGAAAAAAAAATAAATGCTTGATAAAAGTCACTGAAAATAGTGCAAAATGATTAATTCCGCATAACCACGTTGCGGCAAGAGCGCAGCAAACAGAGCAAAGCAAAATGCATGCTAAACAGTTACGATGTTTAAATTAACCGGACTAATTACGAGCAAACGGGAAACACGTCCTTTGACCCATGACCTCATCAATGACTTCCGCCTTGCTAAGCTTAACAGGAACGATGAAATCGATTGACCAGTGATTATCGATCAATTAAACAATTCGAATTAAGACTTTTGACAGATATATATGTATATATATATATATATATATATACTATGTATATACAGACCCCTCCTAATGAGAAAATACCTGTACCGTATACCTCGTACGGTCCATCATTTTGTGTATCAAGCAATATTCACCTGTCTCTCACTGAATAAATAAGCAGTCCCCATCATAAAACTGGATCATCGATCAATTCCGTCCCAATGATCCAATCGAAGTGTAATCGATCCAGATCCGCAAAGTTCACCCGTAACTTTCCTACTAACCATCGAATTCGACTCACCTGTAACAAATAAAATGAGAAAAAAAAATCGATCAGTAAAATAAAATCGCAAATCGATATAAACAACGAAAACCAATAATCAAGAACCGTCAATTAAATTTCCTATAATCGATTCGTTATCGATTTTACGTCAAGCCAAACAATAGCGTGGCTCTCGCGCATCGATATACCTAAGAGATACAGTAGCCAGGAAACAGTACACAAAGTATATATATATATACACCAGTTACCCGGCGAACCTTTCCCACGAGGAGTAATTCGAAAAAAAAAAAAAAAAAAGATTTCACCAACGAAACCAGAAGTAAGAAAGTACACGCAAGTCTGTTCGCAAAAGGTCAGAGCATAGTTGAAAGCAGAAAGGAAGTTAGTACGAATGTACTCATTGTCAGATATTACGAGCTGTCAGATACCCGCAACGTGAATACAGTCGACTCCCTTGCCGGCGATAACTCATTCGAGAATTAAAGGCCGTTATAAGGTGATCGCGAGGGAGTTAGCGTGATTCGACTGTACGCAATCACGCATCGCGTAGAGACACGCGGTAACGTCAATTGGCCAGAGCGCATTGGTAGGTAAAGGTAGATCCCTGCCGATACCCAAGAAAACGAGTAATCGGGTTGCGCAAGGAGGCCAAAAAAAAGTGCGGAAAGCGAAAATAGCACACAGGACCCACGTACGTGCGCAATCAATAAACGGCGAGTCTCTATACGTTAAACGTGTTGAAGCATACGAGAGATTAATGGCGGCCATTAAAGTGTCTCCTTCTGGGAATGCAAATTAAAGTGTGTATTAGACAGTCCGCGCGGAGCTCAGTTGAAAACAGCCTTAAAAACCATATCGCGGGTTAACTCCAACTTTAATTACCTAATCAAGACCCAACTCCGGCTACAGTGTTGCCACGAGGTGTGTCCGAGATATTTAACAGTACCTGATACGTATTACGTATAACGTCTGTGCCTCGAGACGGCAAAGGAGCCAGCGTGACGTCATCGGCGAGATACTGTATTGCCACCATCAGATTTCTGAATAGTTCAGAGACAACCGCGTGCGTCTGACAGGCGTTCTCGTCTTTGCCGTTCTGCGCCAGACACCCTTCTGAACCACCCCCACCCGAAGTCCCGTCAACCCTCATTTTATTTAATATCTATTTATAAACCTTTACCGCCCGTCGTCCTGAGTTCACGATACTTATCCGACCTCCGCCCTTCTTTCCCCCCACCGTATATTCGTCTCTTTGCCGATCGGTGACGAGTAGGAGAGAAATTTGAAATTTTTCGAAAATTTCTCACAATTTTTATCCACGTTGACATATATACAAGTCAACGTCAACGTCAACCTTATATGGTATACCATATATATATATATATATATACCATATAAGAATCAGCAAAACATTATCTACGAGGGCCATATGGCTCTTAGGGTGGCTGGTATCACGTGACGTCACGCGTTACATACGAAATTCACACGAGTCTCGTTTCGCGAGATCTTCATCCCCCCATAGAGATTCCTCAAAACGTTATACGAGGGTTGTACAGACGTATTTTATCGTTGACATTATCACCCTTATAAAAGCAGGCGAAAAAAAAAAAACTGAACGAATGTTCAAGCGAGGGAGGGGAAGGAGGAGGCAGTAGGAGGAGAACGAAATTATGATACGTTAACTTGGCGAGGCATCGTGCGATAAGCCTGACGTTACGTATGCGCCTACGTATGAGAGTTAATACGGTACGGGCATGGGGCGGCCATAGAAAAGTATTCTTCTAGATAATATACTAGTCGTGAGGAATGTATATTTCGCGCACGGGTGATAAGTTACCCTCTGAAACAAGAAAGTACGTAAATATAAACTTAATGCAATACACGTTATACGTGAAATTCTTCAGTGACTTGCCAAAGTCATTCGTTCGCTTTGTAATATCGCGCGATATTACATACGTATCTACCTGCACACGCACTTTACACAGTACCCACGTGATACGTGCACGTTGCATTCCATCCCGCGTGCTGTCGAGATGAAAAGAGGAAAGCGAATATCCCACAGTGGCATATGCGTAATCGTGACAGCACTGAATTAGCATTGGTAATTGCTCTAATTAATTAGCGATAATTCTCACGTCCCGATGCATCCTGTACATTCGGGTCCAGCTGGTCGGTAGGCACGGGAAATGCGATTCGATGACGGCGAGAGGATGAAGTTGGGCAAAATTTTTTTTTTTTTTTTCGAAAAATTTGCATCACCGAATTGGACCATACGCAGCATCCGCGCGTGTAATTAAGTCGTAATATGCATCTTTGTAAAAGTGCATGGAGATCGAGGCCGTAAGATTGGGACTCCCAGAAGCAAGCCTACCGAGCGCGCTACAACGTAGGGACATACCGAATGCATCGTATGCACTTCTCGGCGGGGGCCGATAACTTTACGATGCACTTTATACAGGCAATTAAAATTCTCAGAATAGAATCCGTCGACGTATATACAACAATAAATAAATCAATCTGCACCGTGGCATTTCTCTGTTCCGCCGAGCGTGACGCTGCGCGCGCGCTGCACCCAAGCGTCTACGAGTTTGCCCAGCAGAATGCAATTCCGATGCATTTCCACGGGCGCTTAGGGCAAACGACGTAGATAGTCAATGACGGATCGTCGTAATGCTAAATATTCGTCCCGGGTATCTTTCGTAATTTGCTATACGTGTACGTATATATGTTTTGGGCCTGATGCCAAGGGTCCTACGTTATTGTGTGTAAATGCACTATACTGCAAACCGCGCGCTGCAACAATACACCATACGTATTACGTGCATATACATACTGCACCATTGTCCATGCACTTACAACGAACGGAGGGTTGGTGCTCTCAGGCTCATTATGCAATTGCACTGTATGCACCGGGTGGTAGACGTCAGAGGTGACCAACTGCATACAATTGCACTGCAGTGCACCTATGCACACGACTGCATACACAGTCAGAGATTCAATGTCAAAGGCCTCAACGAAGAATTGCATCCAGGTAATTTTTTTTTTTTATAATCCAAGTAAAAAGAAAATTTAATCTCGCGACACCTTTACGAAGGTATTCGCAGTATCCCAGACGTCGTTCATGACGTCGCCCATGACGTCATGGATCGTTAGACGTCGTTTCACGAGCGTACCGTGCAACCTAAAAAAATTAATGACCGACGTCGATCGTCGCGACGCCTCGTTTCCATCCCTTTTCGAATCGATCGATATTACCACCACCGACCGTCACTAATTGCATTTTACTTCCCGACGACCTCGTTGCACCTCGTGCACCGAGTAACAGCCGCAAGACGATGCACCGTTCACAAGTCAGCTGCAATCGTCTGCGGCTTTAAATACAAGGCTACTTCCAAGTGGGCGGCTGTTTCGCGTTATCGTGCACGTGTGAAGAGCTCGAGGGGTCCTCGACTCTCTATTCCTACCGAGTTCCATTCTCCGAGCGTTGCGACGCTTGTATTGTTCCCGTCAGCGGCGTAAAAGCAAAAAAAAAAAAAACAGTGAAACGTGCCGTACTTGCACTTTTACGTACAATAGAAAAAAAGAAAAAAAAAAAAATTTCAAATATCACACCGACGTCGCCTATGCACTTCTATGGACGATCGGGTTACTCGGAGCGCTGTAAAGAGATTGCGTAATAAAATTGCACTGCGCGCAACGTCACATGTGACAAATGCACATGACCGCCACAATGTCGTAAAATAAAAGTCATTAAGTGACAGTCGCGTCATTGGAATCAAAATTCAAACTGAAAATGTATATATTTGACAAATGAAATATTTCACAATAGCCAATGGACCACATTAATATCCACATACGCGATACAATGGAAAACCCATATGAGTACGATATTATATTTCGAACTTGCACCACATACCTAACATACTCGCATCCAATTACCCGCAGAATTAAAATGCATGGAAATGCAGGGCAACATGTTAATAGAATTGCCAGGAGAAAAATAACACCTCATTAATTATTCAAGTTAATTAAAATCACAATTAATTATTTTACCCCATAAATATCAATGAATATCTTGACCAATGATTTTTTTTTTAATGAATACGTAAAAATCAACTATCCCCCTATCTCGTGCATTCCGTATATCAATAACCGTCGTATATACGAATTAACCGGAGAAGGTTGTCAGGGATATTATCAGAATGCATTCCGACATAACAGAGACAGCAGAAACGCATACACAACGATGCACCAAGCCAGCGCCGTTGCACCAGTACATAAACCATACGATATCCACTTTACTCGGGCACATATGATCAGCCACATATGCAACGTACATATGACGTCGAAACATGCTATACGGGGAACGTGTTATGCCAGCCACGTAATGTCAAGTTATGTTTGGCTAAGTCAACCCATGTGTAAGCTCGCGTCGATTACTCGATCAGACTCGAGCGATACATTGCATATATGGATATAGGGCTAGATGCACATACGGTGCATACGTGGAGACGAGGAGGTGAAGATTTTCAAAAATAAAATCCTATCAAAGTGCCACAGACCTATTGGATTCTTAGGTAACGTAGTCCCCTTGGCGAAAGCAAAAGTTTGTCTCGGGGAAATAAAACTGGCGACTTTACCGTGTTAATAAGGTAGCATATAGTATATGGGATCAGTGGCAGGGTACCCTGGTACAATTTAGCTCGTCTCAGAACCAAGGCTTACCGACCCCTACGTTACCAGCAATTCGTACCATATACCATGGTACATTGTATAAGAGGGACACGGGTGTACAGTGCTACGGTATATACACGGTGTACTAACAGTAACATAACTTGCCCAATTTAATACGTAATATTCTTGGCACGAGGTCCCGTTACGCCATTATATAATTTCGAACGAACAACACCGAGATATAACAGTTTCAAAGAAATTTATTTATCCAGCGGTCGTTTCACCGTTTTACGAGACCCTGTGGTCTGGCGCGATTTTACCTGTTTTCCAAAAAAAAAAAAAAT